TACAGCCCTCTGCAGAGAGGGACACCACGGTCCATTACTAACCATATTACACGCTTCAGATCCAGGGGACGGAAAGCAGACAGGAGGCAGGGCTGATGTAAAAGAGCGATAGACTGAAGCAGAATGAGAATTACTATGACTGACTGAAACCCAGTTACTTCCTTCAGCTCATCAAACATTCAAACAATGTGTACGGTCATGTGAGGACGTTTCTTTACAGAACATGACCATGGCATGTGTAGCATTAAGCCATTTTGACTTATTTCAAGATCAAAAAACCAAAACAAAATCAAAGTTCAAAAATGTAAATTAATTGAATCGTATTTATTTTATTATTTTAAGTTGAACTATGAAAAAATGTGTATATTTTTTATAAGCATTATTAAGTTTTCATAGATAAAATAAAACCAATAAAAATAAATAGGTAACTAGATAGCTAGTTAAAATTCTAAAAGACAATGTGACTATGTTATAATAGGAATCAATTACAAAATATTACCTTATCAAACCTTTCCTTTTAATTGTAAAAGTATTTTGAAATAACACTGTTGTGGTTTACATCAGGTAAGTATTAGAGACTTCGCAAAAATTTAATATTGCAGATCAGTGCAGTTTTCGATTCGGTATAACCGATAAACAAGCTTTTGCTAAAAATAAAGTTAGTGGCAAGTTGGCTAAACATTTATAAATAGCCCAAAAGCAAACAGTCCTTTAGCTGCTGTTGAACTCAACAGGAAGCTGCTGATTAAACATCCTGACTCTTACCTTCTGTCTCTGGATCAGCAGGAGATCAGAAGATGTCAGCTATGAAAACCCAGCCGGTCTAGACATATCTCCCTTCCCCTATCCTTCCTCCCAACTCATTTCTGCTGCATCCTAGTTTCTTCAATCAGGAGTTAATTGACTGCATAATGGATTTTATTAAATGGTGGTTAAGAACTGCGTTATTTTGATTAAGATTTTGGGAACGTTTAAACAAAGACAGACTTTTCTATTAAAGAGTACATAAGCAACAAAAATCTAAATGCTTAGCAAATAACTAGCTGATAACTAACTAATAGTTAATTACTAACTAACTAAAGTAACACTTCACTTTTTTGGAAACAGGCTCCTTATTCAACTCATCTAAAGGTAAACAGTTTTTACCATTTTTGAATCCATCCAGTCAATATCCAGATCTGGAAGGAGCACTTTAGCTTAGCTTAGCATAGCACTGAATTGGATTAGACTATTAGCATTTCATAAAAAAATGTTTTGATAATTTTTCTATTTAAATGTTGACTCTTCTGTAGTTACATCATGTAACAAGACCAATATAATCTTTTGACAGAATGCAATTGTGTATAAAACTAAATAAAACAAATCTATAAAATTTATAAACAGGATTTCAGTTTAGTTTAGTTTTAGTTTTGCCTCCAAGGTTTGACATCACACATTGCACTCATACTGCCAAGGAAATTGTAACCATTATCAATTACACACATAAAGTAGTTTCCATACATCAGAATAATACAAAACATACTGTGATATAAACACACAAACAAAAAACAATGAAAATTATAGGCAGCCTACAGTGCTTGATTGGTCATCTGAGATGAGTGAAATTTCTCCTTTGTTGGTCAAGTTCTAAATCCACCTGACTGCCAGTTACTGTAATAAATGTATCAAATATTCCAAAGATTTATATATGGTATATATAAGGGGAGTGGAGAACATGAGTCTGATTCCAGCGACGCTCCAGGGACAGACGAGTCTTCGCTGAGGCCATCTTCCAGCCTCCACCACGGCGACTGAAGCTCTGCACAAGACTTTTGGCCAGCGGAGAAATTAAAATGGTCGTGCCGAACTGAGTCTGGTTCTCTCAAGGTTTTTTTTCTTCACTCCCATCAGGTGAAGTTTTTTTTCCCTCTCCACTGTCGCCACTGCCTCGCATGGTTCAGGATTGGTAGAGCTACGCATCGATGAATTTGCTCTTCAGTGTTTGAACTCTCAGTAATGATTAAATCACACTGAACTGAGCTAAACTGAACTGAACTGAACTTAAACACTAAAACCTGAACCACACTGTTCCAGTTACTATGACCATTTATGTGAAGCTGCTTTGACACAATCTACATTGTAAAAGCGCTATACAAATAAAGCTGAATTGAATTTAATTGGTATTCATGGTGTTATGTTCTTGAATAATTTTGACAATTGAGCAGACTATTGTGCATGTGATGACTTGTACAATGAAATGACGCTGACATATTTTGGAGCGAACAACCATTAAACTGAAAATCAACAATTACTTTAGATCAACAAGATCTTTTCACTTAGAAATTGTGCTAAATGTCGGCTACCTGTACTTAATCATTTGCAAAGATGTACTTAGACACTTGCAATTTGATGAAATGAATGAGAAAATCAAGTCTGTTGTGAACAATTGCCAAGTGGTTCGGAGGTTTGTCCATGTTGTTTTGAGAATGTAATTCCTGTTTCAAGAAATGAGTCAAACCAATAGAGAAAAACTGTAAAACCAGTTGAAAACATGTTTTTTTTTTATCTCTCAAGAAATCGATTTCAATGTTACATATAATAAAGCAAAGAGAAATGTATTCATGCTAAACCCATGTAATGAATTCCTACCTCAGCAGTTAAAACAGAAGTTTTCAAGAAAGCTTAATAAAGCACCACATATTGATCAACAAACTCCCTCCATCCCACAAAAAAATGTTTTTCTCCCCCCAAATATTGAGTTCATTGTCTTGCCATATTGTTATGCTTCATGGCAACAGACAATCCAGCCGTAACGCTCCCTCAAACACCCAACCCCCCGAAGCAGTCATAACCGACTCTAATTTGTAGCTTTAGACATATTATCAGCCAGCTAAGCCCCTTTATTTCCATATAGCTGATTATACAGTAATCCAAAAATAGAGGGTAAGTAATGGCAGGTTGCTGTGCAGGGTAATTACCGGCCAGGACAGTGTGCGTCTGACAGTTGTTTGTGGGGTCTAGTGCAGACAGTGCTTGAATCATCACTAAATCTAATGCAGGCTCCAACGAGCAGCACAATGGATAAAAGGCACAGCGGTTTCTGTCTAATGGCGCTCATGCGTGAGGAGAGCTGTGAGTGAGGAGTCAGCGCACCGTTCCTACTGCTGCCATATGCATCTAGCCGCTTGACTTGTTGCTTCAAATGGCTAATCATGAGGGGGCACAATTTCTGCCCACGAGAGTAAGCATCTGTTGAGGTCATGCGATGCACGAGTCATTAATTAATGAGAGTCACCAAAATGTGCATCTTTGCAGTACGGCTGCACAATTTATTGCTTCAGTATCGATATTGCAATGTGCGTGCACCGCAACAGAATCTAAAATGTTGAACCGAGAGTATAGTTGACCAGGAGTTCAAAACACATGAGATTTGTGCAGTCATTGCAATCTGTAACCATATACAGGTGACAAATTTTGGGTAGCTTTTTGTCATGCTTTAAGGCATGCGACTGTGTGAGTTAAAGCAATTAGGCATAAGATACATTCACCGGCCACTTTATTAGGTACAACTGCTCTTGCAGTCAATGCATTTAGGCATGTCGACATGGTTAAGACAATTTCCTGCAGTTCAAACAGAGCATCGGCAAGGGGAAGAAATGTCAGCCAAGAATTCACAGGCTAAAATTCACAGACGCTCACCAAAATTGGACAATAGAAGATTGAAAAAACGTTGCCTGGTCTGATGAGTCTCGATTTCTGCTGCGACATTCAGATGGAAGGGTTAGAATTTGGCATCAACAACATGAAAGCATGGATTCATCATGCCTTGTATCAATGGTTCAGGCTGGTGGTGGTGTAATGGTATGGGGCAGTTTTTCTTGGCACACTTTGGGCCCATTAGTACCAATTGAGCATTGTAACACACCATGCCATTTGAATCATCTCAGACTGGTTTCTTGAACATGACAATGAGTTTACTGTACTCAAATGGCCTCCCCAGTCATCAGATATCAATCCTTTGGGGAGTGATGGAACGGGAGATTCACCATGAATGTGCAGCTGACAAATCTGCAGCAACTGCATGATGCTTTCAAGTCAATATGGACCAAAATCTCTGAGAAATATTTCCAGTACCTTGCTGAATCTATGCCATGAAGATTTAAGGCAGTTCTGAAGGCAAAGGGGGTCCAACCCATACTAGTAAAAGTACCTAATAATGTGGCCGGTGAGTGTATATTGTTTCTAGTTTTAAGAAAGATTATTTGTAGTCATGTTTACAATGATGACTATACTTTTATTTTATATTTAACTATTCAATGTGTGTACCTGAATACTGATAGTCTCCTCAGAAATCCAAAATTGCATAGTTTATTTCATTAGTAAATCTGCTCTGTTGTATTTATCTATACCCTACAAAAATATCTGAATCAGTCTAAAATTCTGCATTCTTTCCAAATAGAGCTATTGCACTAGCTTGGTGAAATTATACTCCAATATCGCAATATGTATTGCAGAAAAATAAAATAATGCAAAGTCAGTTTTTTCTAATATTGTGCCGCTCTAGTTGAGTGGTTGATAAAAACATTTCACTCCAAGAGTGCTAGATCAAACTAAAATACTGACTGAACTGACAAATCCCAAAAAACAGCAGACTAATCATTATTTGTGTCCAGAGTCATTCTATCAGATAGGAAACTCTTTGCAGACTTCAGCAAGATCCTGATGATGGATTTTTCCCACATATAGATTTACAAGGTGTCCACCTCCATCAAATTTTGTACCATCTCCGCCTTTTGATAAAAATCAGGCAGGCAGTCAGGACTACCGACAGACCCCAAGCACTGGTTATGTGTTGAATTACATTTAATATCAGCCTTTTTAAATTTAAAAAGCAAAAAATCAATGACTGGGATACTAGCCTTGCGTCATTTTGAGCCAGAAAAAAACTCATCTGATTTTTAAAAGGTGTACAAGGTGTAAACTATAAAACATGTTTATAGCATGAGCATATGTCGACCTACCTGGAGAGCGCTGTTTAGAAAGCAGCTGTTCTGTCCCGGCTCGTTGATTAGGCCTTTGCTTGGGGCGATTGATGTCATGGTTCGTGGGGTGAATATGCCCTGTAACCCACTGCTGCCAGATGCAAAGTAGTTTCTTTTCCATGACATGGTGAAGAAATTCTGTATAGTTTCAACTTAAACCGTCCCTCTGCTTAATAGGAACCCCAAGTTCATCTTTCCAAAGCTGTGAGGAAATGAGTTAAAGTTGTATCCAAAAGAAGCATGTAGGTGTACAAATTTTCTTCAAATGGGCCAATAGTTTGATTTTATATATAAAAAAAAGTGTTTTCTCTTGTAAAGTGTTTTTTCCAAGGGCGTTGGCTTCTTGTTGTCTTCTTGCATCAGCCAGAAAATAGCAAATACCGTCTCTTGGCCTTGTTAACTGCTCTCTGGGACTTGGTTGTGGAATTTCACACCGCTTTACTGAAATTTCTGGGTTGTGGGAGGCGTGGTGATCTTCACTGCAGCGTTTTTGTGCTACACCCTTAAACAGAAGCAACAGCGTGCAAATTGACGGCAACAGTCTTGTCCTGCTTGTAAACAAGTCACAGGGCGTGAATCTTCACAACACTGTGTATCTGAAAAACATAAACAGAAATAAAAAATGTTAACTTCCTCTCGCACTCAATCTAAAAGCTGATGACTTTTTCACACGTTGATCTGCAGCAACAAAGTAATCACAAGTCATTTGTTTTCAATGGGAGTCGTTGATTTTCAGTGATTTATATTTGCATGACAGAGGAGCACACAGACCTCTGAAATACTGCAGTCTAGTGTAGACAAGATGGATGAGAAGTTAATGTTATGGTGTCTGCGTGGTGCTATTGATTTATGATTACATCACTATACGATTCATCTCTGCTTACATGCAGGATATAATAAAATGCTCCAAAGATGTAATAAATTAAATCCACATATTACATAGACAAAATAAATGGTGCATAAAGCGTTGTCAGAAACCGTCTGTAATCTGAGTTTGATGTATTGATAATCGCTCAATGTTGTTCATGACCTTATATGATGTGTTGTGCGCTGCTGTGCACAATTCATATTCACAAACCCGTCCCTTCCAGCAAGGCCATTTAGCATTAAGAAAACTAACTGCCTTTTCACTTTAAATGACTAGCGGCTCATCTTCGATTTTCAGAATAGATGGCATCACCTCAATCCTTAAAAAATTGGAACGCATTCAGCAGAAGGCACAGCAATCAGCACTAAAACATATGCTGCGTCCCAACTCACATACTAATAGTATTTGAAAATAGAATTAGTATGTCCTAAATCTTAGTATGTTGAAAAGAGCATGCCAAAGGTTCCCAGATGGTTTACTATTTCCGGTAAAAATTAAGTGTAGAAGTGTCAATACTGATATTGCCCACAGTACATTGCGCGTTGTATATAAATTGGATTAGAACTACAAAAGCGGGTAAAAAGTGTAAATAAACTACAAACATGATGGATGCGCCACACCAACCGTCAAGTTGAGAGGCTTCAGTAAAGATGTTTAACTGCTTATTAATATCTAGCCAACTAAAACATATTTAAACTGCGTTTTCTGTGTTACATTTCATCTGCAACAACAATACTGAACTTATAAAGACGTGTTTGGACATTAACCTCTAAATGCAGAATTATCAAAAGACCTGAGGGAATTTCTCTGCATAAAAGACTCGTAAATGGGAGATTAACCTGCTGCTGCTTCTCCAATAAGGTAGGAAATTAAATATGACAGAAATGATGATTGACAGGACTCATAACTAAGCAACACAACGATCTGTTAATGAGGAATTGTATGTCCCAAAGCTTGCATACTCTTCTGTTACTCACTCAAAAGTATATATTTTTCCTTCACAAAGAAGTACATACTTTTAGGGTGTAGTATAAGTATGCGAATCGGGAAGCAGCAATTGTGTGTTAGCATTATGTGGCAAATGAATTTTCATTACCTTTTCAGTGTTTCTGATTTAATACTAAAGAACTCATTAAGAACGAATACAATGATTTCTGAACTAATTAAAACCAATTCACAAATAATAAAGACCGAGTCAAATGACAAACAATCAACACAAGACTATAAATATAACTATTCATATTTTCACAATCTAAAAGGCATCTATAAGTTTAATTACAATGGCAGTGGTTAATATTGAAAAACAAATGATAAAAGTAAAGTTATGTCATTATTACTAACCCACTTTGTCTTTTGGTTCTGGATATTCTGAAGAGCAAGCAAAAAATACTGATTTCCACTGTAAATATTGTTCAACTAAAATATCTTTTTCAATGTTTCATAGAATAAAGAAAGTCCTCTAAGTTTGGAATTGAAGGACAACCTGGATAATATTTTTCATTTTAAGGCCCTGTTTCCCGTTTCTGGTATAAACGTGTTGATCCAAACTACCTACGGATTATGGAAGTGCTTGAAAGTGCACAAGCTCAAAAAAATTGGACCCCATCCAGACTTCGGCATCATCCATTGCGTATTTAGCATCACTCGTTGTGATCAGACTGGTGCAAACACATGTTAAAACCAGGTGTAGATGCACCCATTGAGCCACTTACAGCCTACAGTAATAAAAAGCTCAGTATGTGTGAACACATCAAGTGTGCATAGACTCGCTCTATAAAATGCAAACACTGATGTCTTAACACCATAGCTGTGATATTTCCTTTACAATCTGACTCAGATCTCATCCTGCTGGCTAAAATAACACTTGGGTGCAGACAAGGATTTATCTGTTTGTCCCATTCCAAGCTAACATACACAAAACATCCCTTATCAGAGTGCTGATGTGCTGCTCTGAAACAGGTCAAACTCCCAAACACGACACTCATAACTCAAGTAAGGGATACAACTTCACAGCTCTTAATCCACTGGTAGGCTTATATTAGTTGCACTTAGCCAGCTTGCAATAAAGTCCAGTGAGGAATACATCCATCGCCTGTAACGTTTGTTTTACAGCAAGCTCCTGGCAAAAAGTTTAAAAGCTGCTGTAGCTTCGAGCTGTTTCTCTTAAGAGTTTAGCAAATCTGTCTACGGCCATCACCGTCTGATGTGCTTTTAAAAAACCAGACTTGAGGGCAGTTTTCAAGGAATGCCAAACGAAACAGAAGACAAAGGCCCCAGACAGACTGTAGAAGGCAGACAGGAATAAAGAAGACAAGTGTTGAAGTGAACTGATGACTAGGGATGTATTTTTTTTAAATAAAGAAAAAGACTGAGTGAAATTTAACTGAAGAGAAATTCACCCAAATGTGTGTTGATCCAGCTGAGTCACCGGCTGACCTTACACTGCTGATGTCACTGGTTTCCGTGTCTGTGTTTATGGCCTTGAAACCACATTATCGCCAAAACCCACGCTTAAAATATGCCTCGCCTATAAACTACTGGGCATAATGTCCTCTTTCAAACACTCATTTGCATTAGTTTTTGGGATAGATTTGTGAAAGCAGGAAGCAACAGTTATGCGGTGAATAGGAAAACTGACCAGTGTTATGGGTAAAGCTTTAAAGCTGATTTATAATTTTGCCTAAAGTGCACGCGTATGTTACAGCGCAGTATCCGCATGGACGCATAGCCCTCGCAATGGCCATAGCACAAGCTCTGTGATTGGTTGGCTTGGTAGCACTTATGTGTGTGGCCGGTGGTGAGAGCTGCGCGGGGCCGATGCAGCGAGTGTTTACAAGTGTGGAGTCCCATGAAGGAACTCCGGATGGAGACTGTTGTTTTGTGTTTACCTTATGATTAAAGTTGTTGCATGTCCGCCAATTCCCACCTCAAAATTAGCGAGTTTTAGCCACTTTTACATTAAGGTTGCGTTCAGAAAAACACCAGAGAAGAAACACCTACTGCCAGCTAGCATTTCTTAAGTGTTATAGCAGATCAACAAAATCAGCGCAAAGTATAAATTCACAGCTATGCGCATTGTATGCGCCCTTGGTCATGCCGATCACTTGATGGAAAAGTATAAACCAGGCTTTAAAAGTAATGCGTGTTATGTAATAATATTACTTTTCTAAAATAAAAAGTGAAGTAAAGAATTATTTTACAAATAAGTAATATTATTTGTGTTACTTTTTTAAAAATGTAACGCGAGTTACTTTTGACCTTGCTTAATTGGTTTTAAAAAATATATTACAGAATAAAAATGAATGTAGTCAGGTTGAATCACACACTCAATGAGAGAACGTGCTGCGATAGATCAGACAGTCAGCTTGCACTCATCATTATCACCAGTTCTGTTTTTTACAGCAGATGAGTCCTAATAAGTTGAGTTCTAATAACCGAATAAGTCAGGATGTTGGTTTATTTTGAGTCAGAGGAGGTATTTGGTATGTTAAAAAGTAAGTAATTAAATACTTACTAAAGACGCAAATCACTTCACGACAACTCAGTTCAATTTAATGAACTGGTTCAACAGGTTCACTTAGAAGATCGGTTAAAACAAACGATTCATTCACAAATCGCCAGCCATCACTACAGCAGTCAGAAACAGAAACAATGGCAGGCCAGAGACTTACATTTTTGCAATGGATTCTTGTTATTTTTAACTCATTTATTGGTTCATTTTCTTTTCAGCTTAGTCCCTTTATTAATCTGGGGGTCGCCACAGCGGAATGAACTTATCCTGCACGTTTTTACGCAGCGGATACCCCTCTAGCCGCAACCCACCTCTAGGAGAACATCTACACACACAGTCATATACTACTTACAATTTAGCCTACCCAATTCACCTGTACCGCATGTCTTTGGACTGGAGGGAAACCGGAGCACCCGGAGGAAACCCACGCGAACGCAGGGAGAACATGCAAACTCCACATAGAAACGCCAACTGAGCCGAGGCTTGAACCAGCAACCCAGCTACCTTCTTGCTGTGAGGCGACAGCCCTACCTACTGCGCCACTGTGTCGCCTATTTTGAACTCAAAGAAAAAAAGAGGATAGTCATTAAGTGTAGATTATGTGTCAGTAAATCTCTTGACAATCGCAAGAAACATGACATCGGGAAAAAAAAACAGGATCCAAAGCATTAGCCCAGACCTGCACCCAACCTCTACAAAAACAACAAATGACTGACATCAGTTCACATTCTCCAGGTAAAACAAAAAAACTAATCTAAAAAAAAATATATGGTTATTTCTTTTATTGTTGAGGAGATGCAGCCACTATCTACTGTAGAAGCGACTATGTTTTGTAATTTTTGTGAAATTGTGATTTTTTTCTCTTTTAAGGCCACGTGAAGCAATTTATTCAATGTATAAAGCTCAAAGATAAGGCTTGATTTGGGTGTTTTTTATTGTCTTACTTTTCATTTTATTATTAAACATTTTAAAGGTTTAAAACCTGTTTTTGCCTCAATTTAAATTGTTTAATGTTAGAACTCTTGTGCTTAATTGCAATCTTTATCTCAATGCCAGTGAATTTACTTAACTTATAACACAAAACATACAAAAGTATGTAAAAGTAACGCAAAAGTAACTTAAAAGTAACTTCAAAGTAAAATAATGCATTACTTCCCATAAAAAATAAAGCATTTAGTTACTTTTTAGGGGTAGTAACTCAATATTGTAATGCACTA